ATGAATATGTATGAATATATATACACATGTATTATGTATGCATGCACATAAGTGTACATTTGAGATACCCTTATCATGGGTGGTGGTGGTGAGAAAACTGTACAAAAAACAAAACAAAACAAGAAGCAGGGAGCTTTGGGCTTTGGTTTTAGTTATGCCACCAGTTCCTTAGACTTAAATCAGACCATATCTTTGTTTCTCTATGAAACAGATATATTAAACTTGATTAACCTTTCTGTTTGTTTGTTTTGTTTTGTTGTTTTGGTTTTTATTACACTCAAAAACACCAAATATAGGGCCTGGGATTTAGCTCAGTGGTTCGGTGGCCTGCCTTGCAAGCGCAAGGACTGGAGTTCAATCCCCAATACAAAAACAAAACAAAACAAAACAAAAACACCAAATATATATGTGGGACATTTTAAGTTCAGTCAGGAGATTTCCTTTCCTATAGAACTTCAATTTGACTCTCAACAAGATCAGCCTGATTTTATTAGCCAACTAAGATTGAAGCTTTAACTGTAGAAAAGTTATTTTCTATATTTTATCAATCTTTCTAGATTCTACTTCTAGAAAGAATCTCTACTCACTTAGATTTTCTTCTATCAGTAATATGTAGAAAGAATGCTGTCAAAAAAGTGTTTCATTGTGGAATATTTTGACAAACACTTGCAGATTTTGGTGTCCATGACTTTTTTACCCCCAAGTACTATATCTTTGTCATACAATAAATACTTGTCACACACTAGGGCACATACAAGATACAAAATTGGGGGGGGGCAGATTTGTTCAATATGGTTATGCTATCAGTTTTTTCAGTTAATAAATATATACTGAACACATATTAAATGTTTACTATGGGTGTAATGAAATTGAAATTACTTATGCAATAGTCAAGTGGAGAGACATTTTGAATCTATCATTGTACAAAAAAGGATACATTAAGTTATTTAAAGAAAAAATTGGAGTTATTGAGAGTTTTGAATGAGAGGCCTGGTTTGGAGGAAAAGTTGTCCTAGAAAACTAGCCTGATTGTCTAATTGAATCATTTGATCTTCGAGGTCCTGAAGTTTTTCATATCACCAGGACTTTCCCATTCTATCATATAACAGAAAACTCAAAACATATTTTGAAACCTTCTTCAGTGTTGTAACTGCTCACTGATTTTATATGCTTTTTTCTCCTCATTTTATGCTTGCTTTATTCAGTGAATGTTTCCTAAGCCAAGCATTATATGGTTGAGCTTCAGAAGTAGAAGTCACAGTCCTTGCTCTCAAGCAGCCAATATCATTTTGGAGAGACAGGTGCATAAGCAGCTGCAGGTCAAGTAGTTGATTGTTAGTATGATGAGAGCAGTATCCATGGAGTCCTAGAGCTGCTGAGAACAGGGACATTATAATAGGTCTTCACTGGGTGTTTTGAAAGATGATTCCTTGAGGAACAAGAGCAGGCAAGTGAGTAAGATGAGAAAGCAGTTACGTTTTGAATACCTCTAAAAAGGCATTATGGCAGAGATACTATAGATCCTTTTTTACAAAGGAGAAGATTTTGATTCAAATGGCTATATGAATCCAGGAATTAGTCACATGCACAGACAAAAACTGGAAGAATAAAGACTTGAGACTGCAGACTGTGAGGCCTTACTTTGAATTTTTTAAAAAGAGGGACAGCACTGCTTTTTTGGATTTACAGTGATTGGGTTGTCATTAAAAAATAGTAATTTAAACCATAAAGAATGCATCAGAAAATAGTTCAATTTGGGGTCTGGTATCTCTTGTAGGAGACCTGGTGAGAGATGCTAAGAAAATAAAGAATGAAGGTAGAAATGTAAAATTTGGAATCAATCAGACTCCAAGACAAGATGTGTGTTCACTGAGAAGGAAGAATTATGAGAAGATCACTAGATTTCTACCTGGGACAACTGGTGCTTAGAGTTTCAGTTCTCTGGGTGGACATTGCAGAGGAGAATCAGGTTGTGGATATGTGGAGATTAATGATGTGATTACTGAGGTCCTTATGGGACACCTATGTGGACCTATGTAGAAAACAGCTGAATAGATGAGTCTGTAACACAGGTCAAGGTTCCTTTTTTACAAAGGAGAAGATTTTGATTCAAATGGCTATATGAATCCAGGAATTAGTCACACGCACAGACAAAAACTGGAAGAATAAAGACTTGAGACTGCAGACTGTGAGGCATTACTTTGAATTTTTTAAAAAGAGGGACAGCACTGCTTTTTTGGATTTACAGTGATTGGGTTGTCATTAAAAAATAGTAATTTAAACCATAAAGAATGCATCAGAAAATAGTTCAATTTGGGGTCTGGTATCTCTTGTAGGAGACCTGGTGAGAGATGCTAAGAAAATAAAGAATTAAGGTAGAAATGTAAAATTTGGAATCAATCAGACTCCAAGACAAGATGTGTGTTCGCTGAGAAGGAAGAATTATGAGAAGATCACTGGATTTCTCCCTGAGACAACTGGTGCTTAGAGTTTCAGTTCTCTGGGTGGACATTACAGAGGCGAATCAGGTTGTGGATATGTGGAAATTAACGATGTGATTACTGAGGTCCTTGTGGGGCACCTATGTGGACCTATGTAGAAAACAGCTGAATAGATGAGTCTGTAACACAGGTCAAGGCTCTCACCAAGGAATTCCAATTAGGGGAAAGATAGTAATAAACATTTAAAGTAAATTCGTAAACATCTTACAGATAGGAATATTCCCTTACTACAACAGCATAATTTAAAGTCTAAACAGTATAAACTTTTAATAAATAAATCTTTAATATTTAACTTACTCTAGAATGAGTGAGTAAATAGAAGTTTTTATTGGGTAACAAAATATTCCTGTCCAATTATTAGAGTCTGTGTGTTTGTATGTGCTTGTGTAGATTTGGAAATATCTGTGTGTACACTTGTATGTGTTTCTGTAGTTATGCACATGTACTTATATAAAGATTAAAAATATATTATAATAAAATATACATTTATACTAGTCTGCTAGGTCTGGCATAACAAAATACTACAGACTGGGTGGCTTAAACAACAACAAAAAATATTTTTCACAGTTCTGGAAGCTAAAAATCCAAGATCCAGATGCAGTAAGTTGGTTTTGGGGGAGACTCTTTCAGATCTTGTGGACTGGTATCTTCTCACCAGGCCTGCACAGGGACTGACTTGTCTTCCTCTTTTTATAAGGACATTGCTCCTGTTCCATTAGGCCCCACTGTACAATCTCTTAACCTCTTTTTTTTTTTTTCTCTCTCATTGAGTTTATTGGTGCATTTTAGTTATATAGTAGTTACATTCGTCACTGGGATCTTTACATGACAGGTCTTGGTTCTCATTTTGTCCCCTTGTCCGGGCCCTCCCTTCCCTATTTACAAATACTTTATTTCCACTTTTTCATTTTCTCATTTTTTTTCTTTTCCTTTATCACCTTTCCCCTACCCTTCCCACTTCCCCTGCACCTTTAGCCCTTAACCTCTTAAAAGGCTATCTCCAAACACAGTCGCTCTGAGGGTTAGGAGTCCAAGTTACAAGCTTTCTTGTGTGTGTGTGTGTATGTGTGTATGTGTGTGTGTGTGTGTGTGTGCGTGTGTGTAGGGTACAATAAAGGCCATGTCAGCATTGATGCATTTGATATTCAAACCGAGTTTTTCATTGGCCAAGAATAGGCTGTGAGAATAAGAGATTGTTGTGTGTCATAAAAAGGCAAAGGTTATATATATATAAATTTTGGAGGAAGTCATAGCCACTTGCAAGTCGATACATCTTTGATCAATTTTTTAAAAATTTTTTCTTTGGAAACTGGGAGGCAAAAGCCAGAAAAGGTATCCCACAAGAGTGTCACGCCATGAAAGTGAAAACTAGAAGTTTACTTGTAGAGAACTGAATTGCGTTCTTGACATGTGCGCACTTGTAACAATATATAAATTTTGGAGGAAGTCATAGCCACTTGCAAGTCGATACATCTTTGATCAATTTTTTAAAAATTTTTTCTTTGGAAACTGGGAGGCAAAAGCCAGAAAAGGTATCCCACAAGAGTGTCACGCCATGAAAGTGAAAACTAGAAGTTTACTTGTAGAGAACTGAATTGCGTTCTTGACATGTGCGCACTTGTAACAACCCTTTCTTTCACTTACAGCTATTTTTAATGTAGGAGTTAACCTTGTTTATTTTTCGCCTGTACTGTTTTACCTCTGTAACTTTGGCCTTCTTTTGGTTCTGGTGTCTGAACTGATGGTCCCTGCAAAAGCTCCCAGGAGTTGGGTGGGACGTCCACGCCCTGTGGCCAGGTGACAGATCGGGTGGGAATGCGCAGGGCTCCGGGGCGCGGAGCCTCTAGCATACCATTCCCCTCCCACTACCCTCCCGAGCTGGGAGGCGGAGAGGGCTGCAAACTTCGCTCCAATCCCAGCCTGCCCTCCCCAGGGTCCCCCTGCTGGGCGACTCGCCCGCGCGGACAGAGTTGGAGGAACTTTGCACAGCTCCGCGTCAGACCCGGGAGCGCAGTGTCCCCCTCCCGCC